GTCCATTTATTAAATACCAGAAAATTTTGGGTAGGTTCGGGTCTTTTCAGAATCGAACCGAACCGAACCGACGTACGGACAACTCTAGAGGTCACTGAACTTCAAAGCTACACTAAATAATCACTGAACTTTGCTAAAACTTTCTAGGAGGTCACCGAACTTTGCAAATTGTGACCCCATACATCATTGATTTAGTGATCCCCTGTGAATTTTTTGCAAAGTTGAGTGACTAATTAGGGTAGTTTTGAAAAAAATCAGTGACGTTTTAGGGTAGTTTCGAAATTCAGTGACCTCCTAGGATCTTTTTGCGAAGTTCAGTGACTAATTATGAATGTTTTGAAATTCAGTGACCTCTTGGGAATTTTTAGCAAAGTTTAGTGACTATTTAGGTTATTAACCCTGGGCTTGGGTTTGGGTTAGTATAAATACTAATGATGTAACCTCATTATTCATATTGAATAAAAAGTCCTTGTGTTGATTTCTCTATTATTTTGTACTTAAAATCTAACATCATTTTTAAAATTTTAAAAACACACATGTATGTATATATGTAATTGATACAAAAGAATTCAAATGAAACACATTGTGACCTTTTCAAAAAATAAAATTAAATTAAGTATCAGAGAGTGCCACTTCTCTCATTCTTATTATCACAAACGCCTTGAATGCATCACTTGAATGAATACAAATTGATTTTTCATATATATTAACTCAATCCAATTCATACAAATTTGAATTTTATTATATACTAGCTCAAAAACTATTAATTTAAAGATGAAATTTCATATGTGCAAGAAAAAAAACTCAACAATGTCAAAAAAATTTGAATTTTATTATATACTAGCTCAAAAACTATTAATTTAAAGATGAAATTTCATATGTGATAGAAAAAAAACTCAACAATGTCAAAATCAAACAAAATATAAACTAATTAAACAAAAATAGAAATAAGACAAACTTGTAGATGTGGATTGATAATATACAAATTTGGGGAAGAAAATTTTGAAGAAAAGGTAGTTGAAGCAACTATTGATCTTGTTTGTGCTTGATTTGTACAAGATTTCTTCTTATAATTTTGATTTTACTTGATATGGAGCTTGGTGGATTCAATTTTTTGTTAGATTTGGAGCTTTATGTTTCTGATTTCTACACCGTATTTCTTACGATTTTGGAGGTGAAATATTAGTATTTATATTTTAGCCTATGTTTATAATGATTTTTCAAAACCATCCCAAAATGTAGGACATTTATGTAAATTGAACTTTTTAAAACAGTTTAACCCATGCTTAGAATTTTATTACCTACCTATTTTGATTTTTTTTCAAAAAAATAAAATTACATAACGTCCTTTAGTGAAAGTTTTAATTCATAATTTTTTGTATAAAAGTTTTTACTCATAAGTGATATTTACTCAAAAGTAATTTTTTTTACATAGAAGTTAATATTTAATATAAAATTAAATATTTTCAATTTAGTTTTTTTACTTGTAAGTAAATTTTAAGTTATAGGTTAATTTTATACTTTAAATAATTTTTATACATTGTAGTTCTTTTACTTATATGTAATTTATTTTTAATTTTATAACTGAATTTTTATTTTATTAATAGTATTTTTACTTCATAAATAATTTTTTACACAAAAAGCGAATTTTATACTATAAGTAATTTTTGCTTGTAAGTAAATTTTTTAATTATAAAGTAATTTTTTGGTTATAAATTATTCTTTTAGTTAATATATTTTTATTTATAATTTAGTTTTAAACAAAAAAAATTTGATTGGAAATAATTATTCAACAAATGGTCAAAACCTAACGATTTGTGGGTTGAGAAAAATGATCGAAATTACACTACACAGCTTACCGCCTAAAACTAGTGCTAAAACAAAACTGGCTAGTATCGATTTTCTCAACCTTTCATAAATGGTGCCATTTGAAGTCGATGGAAAAAAAAAAAAAAAAATCCCAAGCAAACCCTTAAGGTCTATATGAGAGATCTAGAATTTTACAATAGTAACTATTAATTCATCAAATATAAAGGGATATATATGCAAAAAAAAACCCATCAATCATTCTACTTATGCAATAGGTTAACAATGTGTGAATTGAGGAACATCTTATCCATTGATTTGAAAAATTATTTTTGAAATGATTGACGAGGATCTTTATACTCACTACTTGAACAAATTCACGGTACAAATAGAATAAGCCATGTTTGACACCCATTTTTTTCTCATTCATTATTTCAATCAAACATTCTATTAATAAAATAATATTACACATAAATCCAAAAATTTTCCTTACTTTTTAACCACACAATCTTCCATCAATCATTATTCCAAAAATTATTTTTTTAACAAAATGAAAATGGGTGTCAAACGAGGGCTAATTCTAAACCCATATAACACAAGGAGTTGAGAAACTGTACGGGCTGCCAAATAGTTTATACGACATCGTAAGATATATTTCTCTTTTCCCAATCAGATTGTAACTTAGGGGTTTGGCGGGTTCTTATTTAGGGGGTGTTTGGGAGAGATTCTCAAATTTTACACTAAATCAATTCTCATTTTCAAACACACATTTTTTAATAAAATAATATTTTTCATCACATTAATAATTTTTTCATTCTTTTTCAACCTAACATTTTTTCAACCTAACATTTTCCGTCGAATCAAAGTTTAAAATCAATTCTTCCTCCAAACGTTCCTCCCAAACATTCTGTTATTTATGGATACAATACCGCACTCCCTGATTCTGCAATTCAATTTCTAGGGCATTCCCTCCCTTTTTTACCTACCGAATTTCAATATTGTGGAAGGTGAGCGCGCACACAAACTCACACATTCGTAAAAATGATAAGAAACAGAAATATTATGATGATTAACCATGCTGTTTTTGACGTGGACCGTAAAATTTTCGACTTTTTGGCGTAGTTGATTTTGTATAGTTAATTGGTTTCTTCTAGGGGTCTAATGTGGGTCTCTATGCCGAAGTAGTATTTCAAGGTTTTTGATTGTTATCGTGTTAGCTTGCGAATATGAATCAGGAATAGTCGAAACTGGATTTGTGAGGAATATATCTGAAGTGTTTTGACAATATTTCCTTTGATATCTGAAGCTGAAGTTTGATTGCCTGCTAAAGTATATAACTTTGTTATCCTTAATACTCTAGTCGATTAGATGGATGTAACTGGAACCTTGGAACTCGGATTTGAAATGATTCTCCTTCGGCTTCATGTTTGTAGCATATTTTATTGTCTTTAGAATCAGTTGGTTTTATTATGGAATTCACATTTTGAAAGGAAGTTTGTGTCATATAAAGTTTACCGAAATACGACCAATTACACTTCAAATATTCGGAGTGAGTCTCTAGTGAACTTCCTGTAAAAATTTTCCTTGGTGTTGCACTCATATTCATTTCTTTATTTTTGCTTTCCTATATAATTTTTACTTGGTGTTGGCCCATAGTCATTTCTATATGTGTGCTTTCTTTTTAGGTTTGTTGTATTACTTTTGTTTTGAAGACAACAGTATCTGCACCATGGAAGGGTACAATGTAGATTCCGATCATGTTACTGCAGAATTAGTTGGAATGGGGTTTGAGTTCTCTGATATTACTGAAGCTGTAAAAGCAGTGGGTGCATCATTGGATGATGCAGTTGAGTTTATCTTGAATAACTCTCAAAGAACCAATAGCAGTGCATCAAGTAGTTCTGCATGTCTAAATGTAACTAACAAAGTTCTTGGGAAAAGAACCCCCTCTTCCACAGAGTCTTTTGGTAAGATGCGGCAACAAAGCATAACAGAGCACCTTATGTCAGCATCTATGGCCAAAAGAAGCAAGGTTACAATTGAATCTCATGCATCTGCCTCTAAGTCAAATATCTTGCCCAGACATGTGGAAGAACCAGAAGTTTCCCTTCCCCTAACCATGGATCCTAGATTAAATATCAGTCCAGCAACAACCATTCTACCATCTTATTGCAAAGACGAAGAGGAAATTAGGCCATACTGGGAACAGAAGGTGTATAATCTACTAGGCAAGCATTTTGGATATTCATCCTTGAAGAATTTTCAGAAAGAAGCTCTGGAAGCTTGGTTGTCCCATCAAGATTGTCTTATTCTTGCAGCAACAGGATCTGGTACATTATTGTTACCCCTTCCTGCACTCTGCATCTATTTGTGCTAACATTCTTTGATTCAGGAATATTTTCTGCATCTCACAACAATGACCTGTTTGTAGGAAAATCTCTATGTTTCCAAATTCCAGCATTGTTAACTGGGAAGGTGGTGGTTGTTGTTTCACCATTAATTAGCTTGATGCATGATCAGTGCTTGAAGCTAGCAAAACATGGGATATCAGCTTGCTTTCTTGGATCTGGTCAAATCGACAAAAGTGTTGAACAAAAAGCTATTAGCGGCGTTTACAACATAATTTATGTCTGCCCAGAGACAATTTTAAGGTGAAAAGTTTTCTGTCACTTTGATGTTCTATCTTTTATATGTCTGTAACCAATATGAGCATTTGCATTCTCTCGCAGACTTATTAAACCACTTCAAAGCCTTGCGGAAGGCCGGGGAATTGCACTATTTGCAATTGATGAAGTTCACTGTGTTTCTAAGTGGGGTCATGATTTTCGACCTGATTACAGGTTTATGTTCTTCACTTCCATCCCCTTACTTGTTCTGCCTATTAATTTGAACACATTAATCTTTTTTGTGATTCTTCCTGAATGATAATAGTTGAAACTGTAATTTAATTGCACACTCTTTTTCAATGAGTTTTTTGAGAATGGAGGTTGACGATTATGTATAGTTTTGTTTCAACATGTTGCTGGGGATTTTTGGGCATATTTTATGGATTCATGAGAAACCAGCGATTTAAAAATTAAACGTCACTAAAAATTTGAGAGTCACAAGGGTAGGGTCACCTGGTGAAATAGTTTACGCATATATTTCTATATCAAACCATCTTGGGAACAAAAACAATCATTTGCCGCAGCCAGGGTATTTCTGATGTTGGGTATTGGTCACTTGGGCTTTGTGGTCATCATGATTTTATCCCCAAAACCTGGCCAAAATCTATTGATCCCATCCTGCCACAGAAGTTAGAATGTGTCTGATGTAGTTCCAATATCAGAAGCACCACATACTTTTCTGCCCTTTCCTATTCCTTGGCATTGCCATCAAATAACTCTGACTATGTTTCATATGAGCAAGTTTTCTGTTGACATTGTTGCTATCATCCTTGTTATACAGCTTCTCTCATCAAGTTTGACCCGACTAGGTAATACAATAGGAGTGGCTTCCATAATATATCATGTGATGTATTCTATTTTGCCTATCAGATGGCAGAAGCATTTTAATTCATAGGGTTTTATCAGAGCATTCGTTCCTTAATACAAGTCTTGGCTAATTCTGTTGATTTAGAATAAGCTGATGTATTTGGGCATGAGAAGTGAATGGAATAAAGGACAGGTGTATGCATTCCATGTGAGCCACAAGAGATTCAGAATGTGGGTTTGGATGGCTGCTCGAAGATACATTAGTCTCTTGCACTCTCTCTTTTTTCTTCTGTTTTCCTTTACCAATCATGAAATTATCAGAATTGTCAAATTTAATATGACTTTTGAATTTTTAATTTATTCTCAGAAACATTGTCTTATTGTTTTTCATGTCATTTATTCTTAGTACAGTGTATCTTGATAAAACTTTTGGAGCTTTTACTTTAGCCTAGGTTGATGCATTACTTCTTCTCTGTTGATATGGTCAATGGTTTCCTGATGAAATTTGCCAACGAAAGAACTTTCCTATTTCACGATAATTGTTATATGTAGTAAAATTTTGTATGATTTACAGTGGAACTGGAGTTTTATAAATTGTTGTCTGTTTCAGAAAAGGACATTTGTAGGTTTTCAGTTTCTTTATTATACGGACACTAAAAGTCAGGGAAAAGTCACAAAAAGTTGATGTAAAAGAACAAAGTGTTCTGGTTTAATTGTTGAAGAAAATTTCCACAAAATGAGTTCAGATTCAGTTTTTGCACTTAAAGCTTAGAAAAGTTAAAGACAATTTAAATGATTCAAGAGAGAAAATCTCATTGAACATGTAGACACATATAAAAGAGTACATATTGTGATAGTTTCCTCACGCAAAAACAGAAATTATTTTATATCTATATCAGTCATTTATCATCTTCTCTCACCAATATCTTCTCCTTCATTTTTAGGCGATTGTGTGTGTTAAGAGAGAACTTCGGAAGGAACAATTTAAAATTCTTAAAATTTGACATACCATTGATGGCTTTGACCGCTACTGCAACTGTTCGTGTTCGAGAAGACATTTTGAAATCATTATGCATGTTGAAGGGGACAAAGATTGTTATTACTTCATTTTTCCGGCCAAATCTTTGTTTCTCGGTCAGTATTTATTTCGTTACTATTCATACAGGATATACTAGCTTTTTCCATTTGTTTGTGCAGCTGATATGCATGTGACTGCAAGTCTTGATCTATGTTCCATTCTCATGTAGTTATGTACAGTAATGATATATGATTTATTATTCTATGAAGCTTAAACACTCCTACTAGGGTGGTGTGTTTGCATTTGATATGTTACGTAATGGACATTGACATTTCTCAAACACTCCAAGACATGTTGGATGCGCCTCGTAGCATGTCCTATTTTTTTTATATTTTTAAAATTTTGACATTTGATGGACACCTCTGGGACTTGTGTAGCACACGTGCTCGACACGCCATGTGGGGTGTCTAGTTTTTTATTATATTTTTAAAAATTACGACAGTCGAGGGACTCGTGTTCGGCATGTGTCCAAGGCACCAAGTGGTATGCCCTTAATTTTCACATAAAATATAGTTCTAACTTGTGTGAGAAACATATCCATGAGACATCAAGGACATAAGTGTCATTTCTGTAAATTTCATAATATAAGATTGGGAATTTTTAATTTATTTAATTTGAGTATAAAGGTAAAATAATGAGAGAAAAATTGTACAAACTTCATGTCGAATTTGTTTTATTCCTACTGTATGCATTTTTCTTTATGCAGCAGAAGGCAGTAGTAATATATAGTTCACTCTAAAGTTTATCTTTAAAACAACAACTAGCCACTCCTCTAATTCAAAGATTTCACATGCAAAAATCAAAGCTAAGGAATTTTATTATGAAATAGTAAAGTATCGAAACAAAAATATAATATATAAACGTATAATTTTGAAGAATTTAAATTATCGTGTCCCAGACGTATCCGTATCTAATTTTTTTTTTCATTATTTATATTATAATTATTATTCTTATTACTTTTATTAAGGTTTATATTAATTTTATTCTTGTTACTATTATTTTTGTTGCTGCTATCATCATCATTGTTATTTTTATTTCATTTTTCTCAGTACAATTTCATTGCAGGCATTTTGTTTCCATTCCTTTACTGAAATTGGTATCTATACACCATTTGCAGGTGAAACATAGTAGAACATCATCTTTGTCTTCCTATGACAAGGATTTTCGTGAATTGATAGAGGTTTACACCACAGGGAAGAAATCTGCCAAAACATATAATTTAACCCCACAAGATCTGGAGCATTCTACTGAAAACTCTAGTAGCACTTCTGATGGCAGCATGACTGAAGTAGATGGAACTTGCAAAACTGAAGTGAACGATATTGATGATGATGTACTTCCAGAAAATGACGATGGAGTAGGTTTGCAGTTGGAAAATAGCTTAAACTCTCTAAATGAGAAAAAATTATCAGTTGAATATCTTGAAGATGAGTGTGATCTGTTCCATGAAGCCGATGATTTGGACGGTAATAAACTGATTCAAAGATATTTGATTTGACATTTTATCTATTAGACAAACTGCATTATACATACAGTAGGATTTGATAGGTACTATGGGGGAATATGATTTCAAGTTCATCTGCAAACTCTATCTCTCCTCTCTTAAATAAAAAAACGAAGAGAAACAAAGGCTAAACTTTTCGGCCTTTTAGGACTTTGCTTATGTAGAAGAAGGGAGGAATTTGGAAATAATGTAGATGATAGTATACTCAAGTTCTCTCTCACGTCATAGTTCTTCATCTGAAGTATTTTTACTTCTTTTCCCCACATTTGTTTCTTTGTTGGGTTGGTTGGAGGTGGGGTGAGGGTGGGATGTACATTTGCCAAATCAGCTATATTTTGGGGCAATATTTCTGTGCAAACTCAAAGAGTATTTTATTACTTGTTTCAATTGGTTTCTCTTTATAAGCCCAAAAAGATGTTTAATCACTCCTTTGACGGATCACTCTATTTCTCTTCTCTAGAGCATCAATAGATGTCAAAGCACCATCTTTTTACATCTTCCACCATCCAAGCCCTATAAGTTCTGGAGTTCTCATATGTAGTTGTGATTTTAGTTTACATCTTTCTTCGTCAATGGAAAATTTATTCACTAACTGAACTGCTGCAGTTTCTTGTGGTGAATTTTATGGTCAGCCACCTATAAAAGACTTCAATAATTGTGGTTCACCAGAAACACATAACATACTGAACAAGCTAAAAGAAAGGCCCACACTCAAGAAAGGAGATCTTGGAGAAGGACCAACAATTATATATGTGCCTACCAGGAAAGAAACTTTAAGCATAGCAAAGTTCCTTTCTAGTTCTGGTGTAAAGGCTGCTGCTTATAATGCCAAGGTACCAGTCTGTTCTTATATTTTACTGGATTCTGTTCATACAACATTCTTCATTTCATTAGTATTTCTGTCACGTACTGCAGAGTATATTAGATGTTCTATGTCTTAGGAATCAAATGATTTGGGTTCACCTTAACAAGAAAATTTAACAAAAAATCAACCCCTCCCTTTTTTTGTTCTTTTCGAATCTAGTTAGTACAATCCTTCTATCAGAACGGAATTGTGTTCAACTATAATTTCATCTCCTTTCTCTTCAATTTGTAACTAATTTTTTTTCGTTTCATCACAGTTGCCAAAATCACACCTCAGACAGGTGCACAAGGACTTCCATGAAGATGCCTTGCAGGTAACCTGGACACGAAAACAAATAACTTGAACTGTTGTTTCCAAATCTTAGCAAAAAGATTAGCGAATTTGAGTGCAATAATTATTCTGATTGAAAAATTACTCTTAATAAATTATGTTGCACTTTCATAGGCTTAAGTTGCGATTCAAGATACGTCATCTCTGCTTAGGGTGTAGGTATAGGTATGTGACCAAATTTCCATTGGATCCCTAAATTTGATGGTGCATGACAACTGAATCATATTTCTGTATGGGAGCAATTGAGGTATCTACCTCAGATATAATACTTTTTGTGTCAATGATCCGTGCAAAATCTTGGGTCTATAACACCATATCTTATGTATTTTGAACATTCCACAGAATGTAGATGATTCATTTATCTTGCTAGCCATTATTTTGCCAGTTGTCATGCCACTGTTCCCATAAAACAATCTCACCACCAACAACTAATGAGAGTAATAATAACTACCTGGTGTTCGTATGGTTCCATGAAATACTGGATTTTTGACAAGCATTAGCTTTATTTTGTGGCATTTGGGTATGTGCTAATTGAGTGTGTTCAATCACCTAAAATATATTTACCATGACTATATATAGTGTTTTCAAAAATGCCGGATGTGACACTTTGAATTGTGCTCAAGTGAGGATTGATCATAGGGGTCTCGAAACTTAAGCTTAAAGTGCTACTTGTCAAGGCTTACACCTTGACCTATTCTAGTGAACTCCCTAGAGAATAAGCCTTAGAGCAGCTATGGTATGTTCTTTTAAGTCTTACCGTCTGTGGATTATCTTCGTGCCTAAGCTCTTTGGGCTGATTATTATCCCAGTCCATAATATTTTAAGGGTTTGGTCTGTTTTGATGCAATTCAACCCTAAAATATAAAAAAGAAAATATTTGGAGTCAGTAAAGAGCCTGCATGTGCCCCAGTCCTCTTCTACTCCTACTAGTGATGTGCGATCTCCACCCTCAACTGACATTGCATCTTTTCGGCGGAATGCGATCAGCGACAAGCAACTTTCCTCTTCTCTTTCTTTATGCATTTCTTATCTGTGTTAATTGTTTTATTTCCTTAGGATTATTCAAAGCAAACAGTTGGTCATTTGTTATAAAATTTTAGTTCTAGTTTTGCTTTACTGGTATTGTTAAGTGGTTCTACTGATTAATTTGTTATTTGCTCCTCCAGTGATGCATTTTATGTTTTTAATTGCAAATTAGACTTTCAATGATATTGATAAAAAATTTCTATGCATTTTTAAACAGTTCATGGTTTGTCACAAGCATAATTTTATGGTTTTATATAAGAAGTTGAGAGAATTGTTATTTCGGATGATTGAATAAATTAGAAAATGATCCCCTTTAAATAGAGGAGAATTACAGCAATTAAGGGCAGTCGAATCCCTACAAATCAGTAACTAATCCCACAGAATAAGGGATTTGAATTTATCATATATACAACTTGATTCAACTCCTAAAACACCTCAATTAATAATTAATTTACAAATAGGTAATATACAACATATTTCAACACTTCCCTTCAAGCTGGTGAATAAATGTTAATCATTCCCAACTTGATTGTGAAATCTTCAAAACTTGGTCTTGGTAATCCTTTAGCAAGGATATCAACAACTTGTTGAGATGTCGGGACATAGATCATGCAAATGACTCCTCCTTCAATCTTCTCCTTGATGAAGTGTGTATCAACTTCTACATGTTTGGTATAATCATGATGAACTTGATTATGTGCAATACTTAGCCCCTATTTGAGCCACATTCTCATTCTTTTACTTGCACGTGTTTGGTACCTCATCATATGTTATCACTTTAAATTTTGGCCTCTGGCCATGTCATGGGCATCATCCCATCCCTGCCATCTGTAGTGTAGTTTGTGGCAAACTGGATGTTGTTTGCTTTATAGTGGCTGTGTGGATAGTAGTATTGGCTTTATCTGTGGTTGGAAAACTTGTGTGGCATTGCGGGCTGCATCCACATTACTGGCATGTGTTCATACTTGTGTTGCAGACTGAGGGTGTTATGATGTTGGCCCATTGTGGGGATGCTGCTCACGCCAAGGTAAAGTCATGGGCTATGATGATTTTGTGGCTGGCTGATTTTCTGGACAGACTTTGTTGGTCTCAGATGTTGTGTGACAACCTAAATTCTAAACGATTCGAGTGTCACTAAAATTTAAATTATTAAACTTAAAAAAAAGGGTTGAAATGAATAAATAGGATTTTTATAAGAATAATTATGATTCAACGTTATTCATAATAAGCGTATTTTAAAGAAAATACCTTTGACATAAGGAAAACTTAAAATGATTTCAACATAAATTAACTAAAATTCGACGTAACTTCATGAAAATTATTTTAAATATCCCACGATGGCATTCGTCTCTGCATTGACCGCCCCGAACCATTAATTTTTTGAAAAGGGAAAAAAACATAATGTGAGATAAAATCTCAATTAGTGTGCGGTGTATAATTTTTGTTCTTGTATATACATTTCAAGGAAAACTTCATACTTGCATAGAGTGACACGAAAAGTGGACCTAACTTAGATGGTACCAAATTTTCGTGCGTAGCGCTACCATACCCCTGTCCGTCCTTACAAATCTTATATATAATACGAACCATAACTTAACATAACCTTGAAATAACATATGAATGATTACTCACGTAATAACAGACTTACCTTTTTCACTGGGCAAATCAAAATAATAGAGGAAGTGATTGTTGGAGAGAGATCCTTGAGCGGCGTGTGGAGTTGAGTATGAGCGTGACTATATTTAATATAAAAAGGGCAAGAGAAAGTAAAGGTGGAGAGACAAAGTGATAGATGTAGAGGGGGAGTGTGTAAATGGTGAGGGGTAGTCTGTAGTGTTGGGTTTGGCTCCTATTTGTAGTGGACTATGTATAGGAGTGAAAGGAAATGGCTAGATGTTATGCATGGTCAATGCATAAATGGTGTATTATCTTGAAAGTGGTTAAATCAATACCTTTAGTCATGTGGTCAATTCAATTATATTGGCTTGAAAATATGGTGTGAATAATGCATGTGGTCAAATAAATCTTAAATCATGACTAATTGGCATATTTACGTATGTTTTATGCATGATTTCATCTAGTTTCTAAGATAACTCTCCAATTAGGTCCTCAAACTATTGGTCAGTAATCAATAAGGTCATTAGACTAGGCCAATAACCAATAAGGTCATGAGACTTTAATAATAGAGCGCATAAGTCCTAAATTAAATCTAACGACTAGTAGTAACAATTTGGGACGTTACATGCTGGCTTTGTATTCAGCAATGGCCTATGGGATCTGTTTCTGGCTTTGGTGATGAGTAGGCAAGATGTTGGTTTTCCTTGTGGACTGTTCGTATGACTTGGGTTGCGGATTCGTGCTATGTTTTAATGTGGCATACCAGACTGACAAAATGGACTGAGCTCGGTGCTGTAGCTATTGGGTAGTGTCACAATGCAGGCGAGTTGTTTGGGCTGATAGTTTCTGCACATTCTTAAGATTGGTAAGACATTGATCTAGGTTGCTTTGGTAGGTTGTGGCTGTCTCCTCATAGTGGTCAACCTTTAGACAAAGCTTGGATACTACCGCTACTCTAGTGGAATGTGATGGCCATTCATCCCTAGCAGTTGGGGTGTCAACTGGAATTTGTATGTCTGTAAATCTGCTGTCTAGACATTGATATTGCCTGTGTTGGAAGTGCATGTCTGGTTCTTTGTATTTATTGAGAAGAATAAAATTGTGGGCCGGGTTTGCCTGTAAATGTGTTATTGCTTTACATTTTAGCGCTTGCTCCCGGTGACAAATATACACGAGTCAAGGGGAGAGGGTTTATTGATATGATCATGGAAAGTTTATTTGTTAGTGCCTTGGTTTAGTGCATATGGCTAACCTAGTTGGTACTTATCCACAATATTTTGAAGCTCATAAATACTTGAAGATTTTCGATCAGAAAACATAAAAGTCTCGTAGAGAAATTCATCTAGGTAACACTTGGACTGCCTCTAAGAAGCCTTGAGACAAATGAGTTTCTTTAGTAAACCTCATCCTGCAGACAACTGAGGTTTCGCTTTTATTTTCCGTAATGAGAAACATATTTAGGTAGCCTGCACTCTCTAATAACTTTTGGTCTTTGAGAACTTGGTAGTCTGTAAATATATTAGAAGTAACGTAGTATCTGTTCTGAGAAAAATCAATGTATTGGCATCTGTTGGTTAACTGGTGAAGAAAAATGTATTTGCCTGAACGTTTGTTCTTTATCCTGAGCAACTGTAGTTCAATTCTATTTTAACTTGATACTTTGTACATTATTGGCCCATTAGTAAGTAAGCTAACTTTTTATCTTTCCTCCAGGTGGTTGTTGCAACTATTGCTTTTGGAATGGGTATTGATAAATCGAATGTCCGTAGGATTATTCATTATGGATGGCCGCAGGTCTATTCTTAAATTTGATGTTTCCGCAAGTAATTTGATTTTTTTATTATCTTAAGGGACATTTCCAAAGGAATCTTATAATTCTATTTTATTCATCCCTCTCGTCTTATACTGTAATAACGTGTTTATCAAGCATTTTTTTATGGTTGTCAGTTACAATTTTTTTTTCCTTCAACACCATACTTGTGTTCGCCATCCGTTTCTTGCTAGGCACAATTTTTTTAGTTTCAATCATGCGATTTCTGCTTGTATGATGCTTCTCTCTGTAACCCTTTAGTTTGTTTACAGAGCTTGGAAGCATACTACCAAGAAGCTGGTCGAGCAGGTCGGGATGGAAAATTAGCAAATTGTGGTTAGTTTTCTCTCGTTTCATGTGAAATTTATTGGAAGCTTAAAATCTGCAAGTTGTCCGTTGAGTTTTTAAAAACCTATTATGTAGTTTAGGAATATAAAAGACGTATAGAAATTGTAATTCACAGTCTCTACACTTGTTACCGTTCAGAATGCAATTGTGCTTTGCGTTGCAGATGTGGAATCTTGTTGTTTATAACTATATATAAATGGCAATATATATTAAGCTATTTGGCTACTGTTGAGCAGTCCTATACGCAAATATGTCAAGAATACCAACACTTTTGCCCAGTCAGAGAAGCGAAGAACAAACAAAGCAATCATATAAGATGTTATCTGATTGCTTCAGGTGAACATCAATTATGCATGCATCACATATGTTTTTTCCCTCCATGCTTTCGAATATCATTTCCATTTTTTCCTATCCCTGCAGATATGGAATGCATACTTCTTCTTGTAGAGCCAAAATGCTTGTCGAGTACTTTGGCGAGGAGTTTTCCCAGGAAAAATGTCTCTTGTATGTCATGTTTCATTTCTCGCAAGCAGTTGTCCTTTCTTGTAGTGTATACTCTTGATAAAAATAATAAAAGAAATTGTAGCTGGATTTGGCTCTTAATGTTATTGCCTGTGTTTTCTTCTTGTCTCAATTACCACTTTAGATATTGTCATTTCTTAAAGAATTTTTTATTAATCTGCTTAGAAAAAGCATAAAATTGGTTCCTGTGGTGACACAAAAGTTATAGTAGTAGTTGGATCCTTTGTGAATGTATGAAATTTTTTATTTTCATAATTATTCATCCTTGTTTTTTACCCATTAGCAAATGTAGGCATGCCTGTACATGGATTGAGCTTGGTTTTGAGTGTCCACTTATGTAGATACTTTGTTTAAGCGAATCTGAGAGGTTCTATTAAGTTTATTGAATGGATTGGGTTTGGATTAAGCTTGCCCCATCCATGTGATAAAATTGTTGCGGATAATCTTATAAAGTATCTAAAGAAAAGCTCCATTCCTTGTTCTCCATTCTCTGTAGAACCCCTTTGGGTGGGCTGCAATGAACTGGTAGTTATATGAAGAGCTTGGTCTTCAGCTCAGTTAAGGGTATAAACGAGCTGTGTATGGATGCAATTTCTTTTCTTATTCAAGTAAACAAGGGCAACATGAACAAAATATTATCTGCTCTGTAGGTGTTTTTTTGAACACTAACTGTTCAAATTAGGAATTTACTACGAGATATAACTTTCGATTCCCAACTAGGTATACACAAACTACATTACTTATTCCTTACCACGACCACATTTTGCCAAATTATTCGCTCTCACTCTTAACTGGTGTTTTTTTGAACTCTAATTGTTCAAATTAGGAATATGCTACAAGATATATCTTTCGATTTTACAACTAAGTATACACAAACTACATTACTTCTTCCTTACCACGACCACCTTTTGCCAAATTATTCTCTCTCACTCTTAACTGAATAGGTTCTACTGCACATGTGAGGTATATTCTGAAACAGTTTCAATTCTGAAGAAAAAATAATTTCATACCTTTTTGACTGCATGATGTTCATCTTTTGCTTCTTTGTTTGTAAACAGTGAATGAACAAGTGCTGATATATACTGAGTCCATCAAGAACACGAGCTTAATGCAAATGTTCTTGTTAGATGAACAACCACAAACATCTTGCCTTGGTTTGTCTTGAGTCACTAGCAGCCCTAAAAAGCATACATTTCGTTTCTTGATAAAAATAATTGGTCTGGATCTGTTGCTAAACTGAATTGATTGATGTATGGGACATGATTCCTGAACAACATCTGCTTTATTGTGGATGCAATTATAGCTTTTTATATTGCATTTGGGATCTTTGAGTGGTACCTCCTAATTGTTTTACGTGCAGATGTGATGTCTGCATAAGTGGGCCTCCAGAAATGCAGAATCTGATAGCCGAGGTGGCAATACTCTTGCAGACTATCATCTCTCATTATGTGGGTCCCATTGACACGTGGTTTATGGTTTTTTTTTTCCCTTTTTACTTTCTTATATGTTAAGATTTGATCTGAGCTGTCCAAAGAATTCCGAATTTACAAAATTATGGCTTTCAATTGCTTTTTGTGGACATCTGTTGGATTTTGAGTATGTCTTCATTGTCTACTGTAGATCTTTATGAATTTCATGCTGTATTACAGGGACAAAGGGGTTCTATGGATTTTTCATATGATGATGGTGACGTCCCTGCCTTCAAACACAGGAGTTTTACAGAGAAGCCGAATCTTAGGAAATTTGTTAGTAGAATAAGGGAACAGGTACTTTTGTTGTTGTTGAGAATACAAAGACATGCACTGGCACACAAAATCTCTCTTTTACTTATATGCAGATGCAATCCAGTCACTATGTGAGCTTTGTTTATGTAGTTGAGATTGACGTAATTTTATGCCTAAATGTAAGGTTGTAGATTTGCAGTTTTATATTTGCATGTGCCCTATATTCATCTTGTATTAGATTTTACCTTTGAAAGAATTGCAGATTGTTGAAATCACGTAATAATAGGGGTCAAGATTAGGAATGATTTGAGGTGATTTATCTTTCCATGTGTGGAATATTGTAATCTTTTAGATTGTAGAATTATTTCTTTCCTTATATTTTTCCTTTCCTGTACTATAAGTAGATGTATTGAGTTGTAAATTAATAAGAAAGATATATTCAACTTTCTCTTCATGGTATCAGAGCCGTGTTTTTTTTTTTGTTCTAACCTAACAAAATCATGTCGGAAGCCCCTACCAACATCAGGGAATCTACAACTTCTGACTCACACAACTGCGAGTCTGAAGGTACCTCTACAATAGGTTAGGGGGAAACTTCATCGTTTCAATTAACAGTTGAAAAACTGAACGGGAAGGATTTTCGCGAATGGGCTCAGTCGATCAAATTGACCATTGATGGAAAAGGAAAATTAGGTTACCTCACGGGTGAAGCAACGAAGCCAGCCTCAACCAATATCGTCTCTCTTCAAAAATGGAAGTCAGAGAATTCCATGGTGACTGCTTGGCTAGTAAACTCGATGAAACCATCCATTGGGAAGACATATCTCTTTCTACCGACGGCAAAGGACGTTTGGGAGGCAGTGAAGGAGACGTACTCAGATTCTGAAAATTCGTCCCAAATCTTTGATATCAAAACCAAACTTTGGCAAACTCGACAAGGTGAACGAGATGTCACTGAATATTACCTTGAGATGACGGCTTTGTGGCAAGAACTGGACTTGAGCACCAAGGAAGAGTGGGAATGTGCTGGAGACAGCGCATGATTCAAGAAAAAGCTCGAAAACGAGCGGGTATTTGAATTCTTGGCAGGGCTGCACCGTAATCTTGATGATGTTAGGGGCCGGATTCTAGGAAGAAAGCCCTTACCGTCGACGAGGGAAGTTTTTGCAGAGGTAAGACGCGAAGAAAATCGGCGGAAAATTATGATGGACGCCCGCGGTAGAGCATTGGAGTCGCCTGGAACCGAACACTCAGCCCTAACATCGAAGTGGTCTGGGTCTGGATCGTCCAAATCTGTTCTTTTCAATGCTGGACCTGGGTCATCTAATTTTGGGCCCAGGACATCTAATTTTGGGGTTTTTAATGTTGGGCCTGGAATAAAAAAGGGTGCATCAAATGAATTGGAAAAAAACTCTGTAATTGAGCCGGATATTACGGGCCTTTATTCAAGAGGAGCCGTAAATAGGCCCGATCCAAGACAACAAAAAGGACGACTCTGGTGTGAACATTGCCGTAAATCGGGACATAGAGACGACACATGCTGGGAGTTGCATGAAAAACCAGGAAATTGGAAACTAAGACAAAACAAAAATCGGGGATATCAGGCTTCGGTTGACTATCAAGGAGAACAACCCAGGGAGTCCAGTGGCACCTTCAATCCTGAACAGATGGAACAACTTTACAAATTATTATCTCGCTTCCAACCGCCTAGTCAAAACTCCACAACCAATCCATCCAGTTCACTGGCTCATAGA